AAGAGTAATTTAATCGTTATAAGTTTCACAATTATTCTATGTGACAGGAAATAAATAATACTGGAAAAGAATCGAGTATAACTGAAGAAGACTTTTTATCCATTTGAAAAAATAGATATTACTAAGGAATTTTTATTCCTTGTTGCACTACTAAACCAAACAAAATTATTACAAACGGTTAGGAATAGAGAGGGAACAGAATCAAATGTGTAATTATTTTAAATTAATTATTAATTAAAATATTATTTATTATTTTATATCATGTAATGTTGATATAATATTTTGAAATTTTATAATGAATAATAAAGTGATATATTGATTTGTCACGTGATATTTTTACCATTAATATTAATGTCACTTGAATATAAAAAATAATATTTATTTTTTAAAAAAAGTATCTTATTTTATTATTTTTTATTATTAATTACCAAGGCTAAATAACCTCGGTATTATAAGAAAATGCCAATGTAAAGTAAAAATTAAGCCCTAAGGAATTCTAAAATCCGGTTTTGGGGATGTTAGGGCACCCAAGAGAGATACCAAACTCCACCGCCCTATTTTTCAAAAGTGCAGTCCTATTCCAACTTAGAGTCGGGAAGCCTAATCGAGATAGGATCCCTTCATATGTCAAAATCATGAGTCCGATATTACAGCAGTCCTGGGCCAGCTTGTCAGCTTCCACAGGACCTTAAAAATGTATAATTTTAAATTAAATTCGTATTATAAAGAAAATTACCCAAAAAATAAAGAAACCAAAAAAAAAAAGGACAAGAAATGATGGTATGGACTATCTTACTTTCCAGGGTGTCACTAAATTATTTATAGAATAAAAAGATCACGTTGTGGATTATGGCCAGCAAATGAGCAAAATCCCTGATTTAGTTTAACATAAAATTGTTTCATTATTGAAGGTTGACAGGCAACAATCTATAATTTTGTTTAGTATAAGATTCGTATCTTTATTATATAAAGATTTAGATATTAGATACTTATGTAGTCAATTTGCCATCATCCCATCTCTCACCCTTAAACAAAATAAATAATTAAACAGGTGAAAATTGTCTTCAAACTATGGATAAACTCTCCCGCCCACTGCATACATATCATTAAATCTATTAATTCCTGGCTTGTCATCTGAACTCGTGGTAGGGGTATTTTTTATTTTTTATTTTACGTTTTTGTGAGAAAATAAAATATAAAAAATTATTTATGAGAGGGAAAAAAGTCTGATGGTTCTAGAACTGCTTAAAAGTATTATAGTTACCGAAAAGATTAAAAGAAATTTTTCTTAATTAATCATGCATGTGTGCTTGACTTATTTTGTTAAATATTAAATTACCCCATGTAATGATTATTAACAGGGGTACTTAACATTTGCCTTGCCAGTGTTAGTTGCTAGCACCACTAGCAGTGCTCCAGAGCAGAGTAATTCAATATTTTATTAACCAAAAATCAAAGTTAAAATTCTGCATTGAAGGAAAGTAGATTCAATTGACCTTGGATCTTGCAAAATAAAAAAATCGATTTCTTTTCCAATGCAAGAACCACTGAAGGACACAAAAGGGGTTATGCTAGAAAGAATTGTCATTAATAATCTGAGTCATATATTTCAATGCATAGAAAGTAATAAAATATTTATTTATTTATATATTTATAGTGAATATGATGGATGCAGCTAGACCTGTCAATATGGGTCGGGCCGGCCCAACCCGGCCCTAGCCTTTGTGGGTTGAAAAAATAT